GGGTGCCGGCTTGTGGACAGCCTCTTTCCTTCCTCTTGGCTCCCCTCTCCCGTCAGCTCAGGTGGCAGGTGAGGGCCTTTCTCTTTTCTCTCTTAACTCTTACCCTGTCTCCTGGTTTTAATTATCATCTCTGTGCAGATGATTCACAGATGTATATACCTAGCCCTCCTCCATCTCCTCAGCTCCAGGGCTGCGTTGCCAGCTAACCGCCTAGTGGATACCCCATAGGCATCTCAAATTCAGTATGTCAGGGCAGCCAGGTGGTGCAGTGGATAGAGCTCCTGCCTTGGAGTCAGGAGGACCTGAGTTCAAGTCTGACCTCAGACACTTGACACTAGCTGTGTGACCCTGGGCAAGTCACTTAACCCCGATTGCCTCACCAGAAAACAAAACAAAACAAATTCAGTATGTCCAAACATGTCCCTTTCTTCCAGACTTCCCAGACAACATAAAGGGCACCACCATCCTTCCAGGTTTGCAGTCTTGGCATCTTGCTCGGCTCCTCACCCTCCCTCCCCTCACGCCCAAATCTTATCTCCTACTCTGCAGCACCTCTTGGATCTGAACCCTTCCACTCCCTGGTGCAGGCCTGCACCATCTTTCACCTGGACTGTTGCAATACACTCCTGATCAGTTTCCCTGCCTCATCTTCCTCCCCACGGCAGTCCATCCTTCAAAGTGATTTTTTTTATTAATTTATTTTAATTTATCAGCAATCACTTCCATAAGCTTTTGAGTTTTAAATTTTTCTCCCCCTCCCCAACCTCCCTCCCCAAGACAGCGCGCAATCTGATATAGGCTGTACACCAAAGTGATTTTTCTAAAGCCCAGGTCTGACTGCCTACCTCTCCTCCTCGTCCTGTCCCCCACTCAGGAAGGTCCTCTAGCTCCCTGTTACCGCTAGGATCAAATATATGGTTGTCTGTTTGGTATTTAAAACTCTTTACAACCTGGCCCCTTCTTGTCTTTGCAGTCTCCTGGCCTGTTGCTACCCTCCACACACACTGTGGTCCGCCTGACTTGCTCTTCCTCACATGACATTCCATGAGTGCCTTTGGACTCAGACGTCTTCTTCCCTCATCCCTGGAATGCCCCCCTTCCTGACCTCCACCACTCAGTCCCTGGATTGCCCCAACATTCAGCTCAGATTCTGCCTTCTACAGGAGGCTTTCCCCCAGTTGTTGTCCCCTGCCCCCAGCCGCAGGTGGCTTCCCCTCTGAGAAGACCTCCTGTATATCCCTAGTGATATCTGTGCTGTCTCCTCCATTAGAATGTGAGCCCCTTGAAGGCAAGGACTGTGTTTGCCTTTCTTCACATCCCCAAATGTTTAGATAGTAGGCATAGAGTACGTAGTAAGTGTTTAATTAATGCTTGTTGACCTAGAAAGAGATCTCTCTTCTGGCGTTCCTCCAAGAACACACTGTGTCCCTGCATCCCTTGAACCCTCCCTCCACACTAAGGCTCCTGTCCCCATGCCACAGCACTTTATTCTGGGAAAAGTCATCAGAGTCACCCCTTCTCTAAGCTGCGGACCCACAGCCTGTCACCCTCCTTCTGCCTCCTGCCCCCCAGCCGCTGGAGCAGCCAGCCTTTCCCTTCATTTTAGAGCCTTGGCTTATCTGCAGGGCTTCCCTGCAGATGACCCTGGGGCAGTGGCCAGGCCCAGGCAGGATGCTGGAATACCCCCACACCTTCCCTTGAAGACCAAGACGTTTGTCCAGCCCATTGTCCTTTTTGGAATAGATGCTATCTCTCAACCAGCCTGGCTCTGGGGTTTAGATTTTCAGGGAAAAGGGTCAGTAGATGAGGGATGTTTTGTGTCCCCTTTTATCTTCACCTGCCTCCCATCTCCCTGGGGCTGGTACCCAGGAAAAACAAGTGTCTTTGACATCTTCTCTTCCTCTTCTTCCCCTCAAGTGTAAATTTTGACAGGACCTGGCTTGCGTTTTAATGACTTCAGTTGAGCCGCGAATGAAATTTTAATTAGTTTGTGCCACACTCTGACAAGCAGCTCCCTGGGCAGAGTAAGGCGCAGGACCAGGGTGTTAGGGTAGCTCTGGGCAGAAAAGGAAGGCTCTTCCAGGGCCCACTTTGTGGGGTGGGATGGGCTGTAGGTGGGGTTGCCCAAACGGAGGAACAGGGGCCAGGATAGCAGAGGCTCCCTGTGTGCAATGCCTCAGAGAATCCAGAGGGAAGGGGAGGGGAGAGAGGCTGGGCCTGGGCCTGGGCCTGCCAGACCCTCTGTTTTTTCTCTCTTCTCTGTTCCTCTGTTCTCCCTGATGGTTTTGAGATGGAAGCCACAGGAAGAATAGAAGATGCGGTTTCCATGGCAACAGAGCTGTCCATAACCAACAACTTCAGAGGCCAGGCTCTCCCAGGGAGGCAGATGTGCTGAGCAGCCACAGAATTGCCCCCCCACTTGCTGGCAAAGGGGTTGAGGGAGAGCAGGTGGCAAAGGGTCACACCGGAGGAGGTAACCTGATGTAGCCATCCCTGCCATCCAGGACCCTGCAAGAGGGGCCACAGGGCAACAGAAGGTTAGGTTTCCTTCTTGTCCTCAGAGCTTTCTGAAAAAAGTGGAATGGTCTGAGGTTGGGGGAGCACTGGGGGGGCAGGTCTCTAGGAAACGTGCCAAGCTGGCACTTCAACCTCGCACCCAGACTGATCAGTGGGCCTTACATGGCCTTTTGAAGGATTAGCACCATCATGCCGGCTGTCTCAGGTTCCAGCTGCGGGGCAGCCTTGCCCACTGCTGCCCTTTGTACCAGCTGGAGGCCCAGGGCTGAGCCAGAGATGCTGAGAAGGTCAGTCATTAACTGGACCCCAGGGGGTCAGCCAAGCCTGTTTTCTTTGTCCCACCCTCCCCCACTGTGGCCTCCTGCTGATGAGGCAAGAGCCACCCTATCATTCAGCTCTCTCCCCTGTTCTCTTATTCTCTGAGCAGGGCTTCCTCAGCAGGTCATGAACTCCCCTCTTCAGGGAAGGGCAGCAGTGCCGAGGGTCCCTGTTAGGAAGAAAAGGGTGAAGACTAGTGCCCAAGAAAGGTGGTTTCCTTTCCCCCCACTCCCAAGTTCCAGGGGCCTGGGTGATCCCTTCTCTGGGCAGCTTTCTGATCATCTTATGTATGGACTCCTTTTTCTCCCGATTCCTTATGTAGCTGTGTTAGGGTCAGGACCTGTAGCCTCTGTGCTTCAGCTTTCAGTGGGGCTCAGGGAGCCCTCTCCCAAGGGCCTGGGCAGGCTACAGAGGGCCCTGTGCCCAGCCTCGTTATGCCTGATCAGTTTTCTGATTTGAAAGATTTTGATCAAGCAGAGGAAGCAGTCAAATCTTCCCTCCTTTCTCCCTGGAAAAGGAGAGACTCACCTGTGTTCTCCTCCCCTTTGCCTCTGACCCCAAGATGAGGAGGGGAGTCATGGGGGTGGCCCTTTTCCCCTGGGTGATACCTCTCTTGTGGCATCTCAGTAGAAAGAAGGCTCATTTGGGAGCTGGAAGTGAGCGCTGGCCGCTAAAAATAGCCCTGTTGTGAAGCTTGGCATGTAAGGTTGACAGCGGCGAGGCCTGCACAGTAATCTTCTCTGCGATCCAGAGGGTAATTGTACTCCTGGAGCAGGAAGAGGCTTGGCTCAGAGCCCTCTTCCCCAGGCCACCCTCCAGATTGCTCTTGCCCCTCCAGCCAGAGGGTGGCCTGGCCCGGGCTGCTTTTGTGGAATGGGCAGAGGACGAGTAACCTTTCTCCCACACTTGGATTGGGAAAGCAAGCCCAGGGGCTGGCACCTGGGGAGCCTTGAAGCTCATGCTGCCAGCCCCCCAAACACAGGGGAGGTGATGCTCCCCCAAGCCTGCTTCCCTGTCTTGCCAGCTTTTCTCCCATCCCACTGACCTCAGCCTCTTCAGAGGGCTAGGCAGCTTGGCCCTGATCCTGGGTGTGGGCAGGAGGGATGTATTCGTTTCCTGTCTTTGGCTGTTGGCACAGCTTGGGAAGAGGTAGCCTTGCTTACGTGGACCCACTTAGCTCACTCTTAGCCTTCTCCTCCACAAAGTCACTCCTGGTGCCGTGGCTTCTTTCTGAGCCTCTTTCCAGTGTCTCTCTGTGTGAGGGACGAGACCTTGAGGGCCTGTGGCTCATGGGCACTCTTCCTGCCAGTGCCAAGCAGTGCCCAGAGGGAAGCAGAGGCAGTGCCAGAGAATCAGAATCTTTCTGATCTGGCAGCAACCTGCAAGGTGTGGGTGCTGCTGGCTAGAGATTGCAGAGGTCACCGGGGGGGGGGCCTAGCCCATGATGGGGATCCCAGGCTTCTGGAACCTTTCACCTAACGGGCCCCCTGATGCCTTCTGGACTGGCCCATAGAGAGGTGGGGGAAATGTTAGGGTTAGGGTGGCTGCCTCACAGGCCCAGCAAAGTCAGTCCCTTTTGGAACTCGTAGAATTTGGGAGCTGGAAGGACCTTGAGAGGACATCTCTGCCAATTCCTTAGTTGTACAAAGGGGGAAATTGAGGCCAAGGGTGGGAAAGGTGCTTGCCAAGGTCAGATGAGGAGTAAGTCACCAAGCCAAATCCAAACCTCGGCCCCCCAACTTCTTTCTGGCCCAGTGTTTTTTCTTTTTTCTTTTTAATCATTCACTTAGCAATCATCAACTGGTCAATAAACAAACAAAAAAAGAGGATGATACAGGAAACTGAAACTGGTTTTTTTAAAGTATTAAATCAAAATAGCAACAAAACTTTCCTGTGTGTCCACGTCCCCTTCAAACCTTCTCTTTGCTCTTTCCAGTCCATTTTTAGATGTCTCACTGAGGCTCTTCATTTCTCCTCTTTTTTGCATCACTTTTATTACCTACCAACTCCCCCCCCCACCTTTACGCCCAGATAGAAGGCCTTCACTTGGCACCAGTAAGTACAGTCCATAAAATAAGCCAATCTCCACTGGTCATCCTTGCTCAGGGAATGTCTCTTTCTGTACCCTGGGCCGTCGCCTCTCCCCATTCTTCTTTGCCCCTCAGGCCACATCGTCCCCATGGGCATCTCACGCTGACTTTTTCTTCCTGCCCTTGCCCAAGGAGCGGAAGCTATGTGCCCATCCCAGGCTGGAGATCTACCAGCAGGACCAGATCCACTTTGTGTGCCCACTGGCTCGACAGGGTGACTTCTATGTACCTGAGGTGAAGGAGATGGAACGCAAAAGCCGAGCAGCTGCCGAGGCTGATGACGCCCAAACTGATGTCACAGGTACCCTGCGGAGGGGGCGCGATGAGGGGGAGGGGAGCTGCTCCTTCCCTGCCTCAGTTAACACTGTGTGGGTCCCCAGCTGTGTGCTAAGCCCTCTAGGGGATATGAAAGAAAAAGTAGACATAGTGTTGGCCCTTGGAGACCTTCTGCTCCAATTGGGAAGACAAGACAGACAGCAGATACACATGCTGAATTCTAAAACACTGTCAGCCATACATTGACAAGCGTAGATGAATACAGGATGTCTGCAAGCACTATGTCAAGGTAGGTACTGTCTGGGCGCCCTTGATCAAGGAAAGCTTCCCGTTAAAGGTTCATTTGAGAGGTGTTGGGGCATACATTGGCAGGAAAACAGGGTGCCATCACCTTAAGGGGTCAGAGGAGAGGTCAGAGGCCCCACTGGGCCCTCACCCTTTGGCCCCTGGAGGCCCAAATCAGTTAAGGAAGTAAGTGTTTGCCTTCCAGATCTGAGAACGGAGAGAGGGAGATCATGTCTCGGCTGCTGGAAATACACTCCATCCAGAGAGTCTGCATTGGTGTCCACAGGGGGTGTGCTGGAACCAGCTTGTACTGACTGGCTTAGGAGGGCAGTCATTACATGGTCATCAGGAACATGTCCATCTCAGAAACTGGCCAGGACTAGCCTTAAGAAAAGAATAGAGGAAAGATATTAATAATGTAGAGTAAACTTAAAAGGGTGTCTTGCCCTTTCAGAAAGCCAGCACCCTGCCTGTACCCCTGCCATATGTGGGGCTAATGCCCCACAGGCAACTTAGGAAAACAGACATTCATGGCTTAGTTGGGGGTAAGGGGAGGAGGAGGCAGGACAGAGGCTGTTAGCTGCCTACCCTCTTAGACCCAAGGGACCAGACCAGAAGGTCACCTCCCCCTCACCCCTGCCCTTAGTACAGGCTGGGGAGTGACCTCTTGGCCTGGACATGGTGGGAAATTTGCTTTGACAATCCCAAGTAGACCCAAGAGGGCTGCCCCTAAGCAGCTCATGTTGTGACCCGTGAGAGGTCTCATCTAACCATAACTGGGGTTTAGAGCAAGGGGGAGGTATGGTGTGGAGAAGACTTAGCCTACTGCCTTGGGGGCAGAAAAGTTTCGCTATTCCCACAGTCTTCTCCCCAACACCACCAACATTGTCCTATTTCTATAGCTTGGCTCCTCAGCTGCCAAGGTCACTGGGGAAAGTAGGGGAGAGTATGTGTAAGGGGGGGTGCAGAGAGGCAGTGACTTGCTCCCCAGGGGACTGTGTCTAACACAATTAAGTTCATCTGCCACTTAATTACCTCCCTGGGGCACAGCCCAGGCCAGCAGTGCCCTCAAACCAGCCTTGCATTCCTTGGTGCTCCCACTGTGGGCACAAGGTCAGAGCAGACCTCAGGATGGGAGCGGATAAGGAGAGGCCGGGGTGAGTCATGAGCTTCCGATCTCACCCCCCTACCCCCACCCCAGTCCTTTATCTCCCAAACATAGCCTGCCGGTGCTCTTGAGGGCCTGCCTGGCACCCTGAACCCTCCTCTGCCCTCCCCCCTCCAGCTGGCTGCAGCCCCCAGGCTCTCTCAGGGGCAGGGCCATGGCTGCACCACCACCCCCAGCCTGTCGTCAGCCCTCACACCCTTTTCTTCCCTTCCCCCATTTCTCCCAGGCCCCCTGGCAGAGAGGGCAGATGGGCTTGCCCCTTGCTGCCGGGGTCCGTCCTGCCCACCCCTGGGTGGGATCTAGCTTCCTAACTACCAGGTGCATGCCACTCACCCAGCAGTGTGCAGTGGGTGCCTGGCCTGCCTGTCTCTCCCCATGGCTGGGATGCAGGAGGTGAAAGGGGGTGATTAGCTGGCTCTTGACTGCTATTACATTGATGTATTATTTAGTACCAGGAGAGAAGATGAATATTTGATTGCACATTAAGCTGGCTGCTGGGAGAGAGCCTGGGTATGGGGTTAGGGGTTGAGTAGTGACCATCATGTTCCTCCAGTAGCAGCTGGAATCTGGCAATTTGGAAACTGGCCAGGAAGGTGGAGGGAGAAGGCTCTCTGTGTACCCTCTGGGGGCCCTGATGCCTAAATAACTCCTTGGTCAGGGTTGAAATAGAGATGGTGGGAAGTTTGGTTCTGTCTGCCCAGTGTTCTGAGGAGAGAGGGCCGTGACTCAGAACGGGAAGGGAATAGGACTCGCTGCTCCCATGTGAAATATTCAGGTAGAGAGTCCCTTGGTGTAATGAAGCAGAGTCCAGGGGGGCTGGCCATCTGGACAGCTGAGACAGCATGCCATGTCAGGTGGGCCCAGGACAGGGAAAGGCAGGGACTTCACTTTCACCCCATCCCTCCCCAGACACACAGGGGCCCCAGTGTCCTTCCTGAAAACTGAGGCCAAGGGAGAGGGACCTGAATAGCAGCCCTTGAGGAGCATTGGCTCTGCCTCCTTCCCCAGGTCCTCCTAGAAGTGAGCTGGCCCGGCTTAGCTAGGAAGAGGAACCCTAAAGACTACTCAAGCCTTCTGAAATACAGCTGTCCTTCACACCTCTCTGTCCCGAGCCTCCATCAGTGAAAGGGAGTACAGAGGCCGAAGCACCCCCTTTTCATTGATCTGTCCATCCTTATGGAAGCGAGGCCTGAGAATCAGACCCATCTGGACTTTTCCCAGCTCCCAATCTCATCGCTGTGGGGTTCTTGCTTTAGGAAGTGCGTCAGGGGGAGGAAAGACAGTCCTTGCTTCCTGCCTCTTTCTTGTGAACACCCTTCCCTTTGGCAGACAGGAAGGAAGGAGACCCTGCAGGTTGAAGGCCACTTTGGTTAGACCTCTGTTGTGGCCGGGGTGGGACAGAAATAGAGACTTCTGGCATTTCCCTCAAGAGTACCATCACGTTGGGGGAGGCAGAGCGAAGCCAAGAGCAAGGCACAAGAAATACCTAGAAAAACCGGAGGCTGCAGTGTCTGCCTGGGAAGCTGTGCTGTGACCTTTATCTCCTAAAGGGTCTCCTCCAGGAGCTGGTCTAGGCAGAGGTGACCCTGCCAGCACTCTGAGACGTCCCCTCGCTTGCCTGAGATCTTCCAAGTCTGAGTGTGGGGCAGAAGGTGGGGATGGATGCCAGCTGGGTGGCTGCCAGCTTCCCCTGGCACCCAGATCCCAGGAGAGCCCGTGCAAAGGGAGCGAGAGGGAAGGACATGACAGTTTAATAAGGCTGGAGAAAACTGCTCCTCCTCTCCCCCTCCTCCATCTCTCCTCCCTCTTCTATCTCTCCTCCCTCTTCTTCCTCCTCCTCCTCCTCTCCCTCCTCCCCCCTTTTCCTCCTCCTCCTCCTCCTCCTCTTCTCTCCAAGTGCTCAGTCTCCTTTGGTCTGCAGCCCAGAGAGGAGAAAAGAGAGTTCAGTAGCTACTCCAGCTCTGCTGGCCCCCAGGGATGCTAATTATTATTTAAAGAGACATGTGTTGCTGCTGATGAGCGAGTGTCCTGCCTCAGGGCTGAGGAAAGATTGTCTTCTAATCTCTGGGCCCCTGGGATGGGAGTGGGGGCTAGGGGGTGACCAGCAGGAGAGAAGGTGCATCCACATAAGGAAAGTGACCAGGCAGGCTCCAGAGGCATACAGAACCTGCCAGCCTCTGCCTCTACCATGTTTCTAGCCTCTCCATCTCTTGTCCCATCCCGCTGGGGCACAGCTAGCATGGGGGGGGTAATGCACCCGCACCCCTAGAGGGGAAAGCGTAAGCACAGAGATGCAGTGGGTCTTGCGTAGAGTCCCGAGCCTGTGCTCTCTTTGAAATGCAGCTCACTTGGAAAGGCACCATCACCGAGAAGGCCTGGCTTGGTGGGGCCTCAAAATGGCAAAAACAGTCATTTTGTGTGGTCAGTCAGCATATGCCATTGATTTTTGAGCCCAACCCTGTAGATTCCAAAAAGGAATAGGATCCCAAGCCAGCAGCTAACCTAACCCTGATTCTGACCCCCTGTTGGGTTCCAGGGGTGCCCTATTCCTTTATCTTGCCCCAACGTCCAGCCAGATCTGCCACAGAGCTCCAGCCAAGACCAACCCAAAATTCAAGACCAGCCCGAAATTCAGAGCATTTACACCCCCCCCCCACCCCCCAGCAGCGCTTGGGCTCTGGGCTCTGTCACCATCACCATGGAGACAGGAAACCAGGGAAGCATCGTGCTCACTGAACACAGCTAACCTCTCACCTCCCCTGTGCTACCACACCTGGGCCAGGCACCAGGCTGGGATGGGGGTGAAGAGGCAAGTCCCCCGTCCCTGACGTCTCCCTGCCTCTGCAAGAGCAATGCTGGGGGGCAGTAGCTTTCCCCTCCCCTTCCCTTTCCTGGCTTCCCCTTTCATCAGATAGCCTTCCCCACGAAAGGGAAAGATGGCCAGTTTTAAGATGGCAGTGTGATGAAGTGTTTAAGACTGGGAGTAAGACATGTGGACATGGGGAGCTCTCCTTCCCACACCTCCCTGCTGCTCCTCTAGCACCATTAACCAGGGCCCCTCAGCCCTCCCCGCTCTCCCTCTCATCCTCCTCATCGATCCTACCTGCTGCTTGAGTGCCTATCAGGCCTTGGTGCTTAATCCTAGGGGGCAGAAAGTGGCCTTTATAGCAGTTAATCTGGGGTCTCCAGGTTGAGGGGAAGGGCCATGGCTCTTCTTGGTCTCAGTAGGCCCCCCCCCCCGGGGTTTAAGAATTTGGAGAACATGCTAGATCCATCAGAATGTTACTAGGGGACAGAGGCTGCTGCTGCGGAGGCTCAGAGAGCTCCCCTTTTAAGGTAATATCTTCGGGCATTGACCAGCCATCCCCCTTCACCCAGGCCTCAGTCAAATGGAGCTGAAGTACCCAAATGTCTCTTCACTGGTTTCCTCCCAGACACAAAGGCCTAGGGGGCTTCTGCCTCCATTCTGCAGCAGCCAGATTCCAGCTTCTCTGTCCCCAGCTTCTTAGGGGGTCCGTTGATTGGCAGCCTCGTCACATTCTTTCTCTGTGCCATCTTTAGCCAGGGAACATCTCTGGTTTTTTCCCTCCCTAGACCCACAGCAAAGGGACGAATGTATCAGGGGAGAATGCCTTTGTTCTCCCTTCCACCCCACATTCCCCAGGGACATAGAAAACATTAAAGCTAAGTAAGAGCCAGGTTCATCAGTGAAGAGCTGGGGGGAGTAGCCAGGGCTTTGTGGGAATGCAGGGAACCGTAGCTAACCCCAGAGAGGTAAGCCAGCCAAGCTGAGGTTCACATTCTCCCTCCCTTCTTTTCTTCCTTCCCTCCTTCCCTTTCTTGATGGCAGGGAAATGTGTTGGCTAATGGTAGCCCAGAGGTGATGTTGTTTTTTCATAGGATTCGTCCAGTGATGTGTGTGAGTCATCCCCTCTCCACCTTGTACAAGAGAGGAGTACCTGGGGAAGGAGTCCCCCTGCCCTGGACACTCTGCCCAGGTGGGCTCGGTCCTGCCTTCAGGAAGCCCCTAGGTTTCTCAGAGATGCGGCTCGGGCCATGCGCCTGCTGACCAGCCCCTTCGTTTCCCTCCTGCCCCAGGAGCTGACACAATGAGCGACACCAGCTCCGTCAGTCTGGATGCGGGACCCGGGAGCCGCGAGAACTCCCCCGCCACCTCCACCACGTCCCCTGGTGTGGCAGGGCGCAGCTGGGATGACGCAGATAACCGGAGTGAGCGCAGCTACAGCGAGTCGGGGGCTAGTGGCTCCTCCTTTGAGGAGCTCGACCTGGAGGGGGAAGGAACCTCGGGCGACCCTCGCTTTAGCCACGAGGCCGAGCCCCTGGGGCCCAAGTGGGCCAAGGAGCCCAGCACCCCAGAGAAGGATGAGGAGTAGCTGCCCCTCCTGGTCAAGGCCTCTGCCTCTCAGCCCCACTCTCCTCGGGCTCAATCAAAGAGGAACTGATCAAATTCGTCCTTCCCCACCTCTAACCTGGCCTGGCCGGGCCTGCCTCTTGCTCTTCTTCTTTAGACCCTCGGCTCCAAGGGCTGAGGCCCGGTGCAGCTGCGGCTGACCCTGTGGGTCTGTAGAGCGGCTCCCTGCCGCCGTCTGACCAGGTTGGGGGGTTGTCTTACTCCCCCCGCATCCCCGAGCTCTTTTCTCTGTTCTTTCTCCTTACTCCCTGGCCTGTTATTCCCAGCCAGCTGGAGGGAGCACAATCTCTTCCCTCCCATTTGCCCCTCCCTCATCAGTCTCTTTTTCAGACTTACATTGGGACTTTTAGGATCCAGAATAAAGCAGATGATTTTCGTTTCACTCAGAATCATGCTGCAGATTTCTTTACTGGTCCAGGACCCCCACCAGTCACTGCTGTTCATACTCTGCCGGCTCCATTAGGGTCACCAAGCACCAGGCTGGACCACGGGGAGATGACTCTCTCAGAGTCTCCAAGGAGTAAGGGGATGGGCCAGGCGGAAGGCAGGTACCCATCACTGGAGCAATCCTCAGATAGGAGTGGAGCCCTTGCTGTTTTCTTAGCATCATGGATCCAGAGATGAAAAGGGCTTCACTGACCCATTTAGTCCAACCCTCTGATTCTAGGGAGGAGGAAATTAAGGACCTGGGGAGGTTCACTGACATACCTGAGGTCACACAACTAGGATCACATTTGAACCCAAGTCCTCTGAATGGAGTCTCACTATTGTACCACACTGCCTGCCTGTTTGGGGAAGAGCTTCATGTGGCCTTTGAGGGCTCTTCCTGCTCCTTTAGTCATTGCACAGGAAAAGTCCTGGATCACTGAGGTGGGGGGGGGCAGCCCTTGGAGAAGGGGCCCACCCTGGACTATTTTGGACCATCCCCACTTTCTGTTGTTAGGAATATTCTGCCTTCCAGGCCCCTCCGTCATCCCCACGTGGCTCAGTGACTGGTATCAGGAACACACTCCAGGTGATGCTATTCTGCCCATACACTTAGGTCTAGCTGGTGTGTGTATATACTTGTGAGCAGGCATTACCTGACGGGGTGGAGGGGTGGAAGTAGGTTGCCCAGATGCAGAGAGCCAAGCATCTTGTGCCTTCCTGGTATGAGGGGCCCTGCTCATGGATGAACATAGGCCTTTGTCTCAGGATTTTTTTTCCTTTTGCATCTTCTGTGTGTGTGTGTGTGTGTGTGTGTGTGTGTGTGTGTGTGTGTGTGTGTTACTCCCTTTACCCCAAGGCTTCAGCCTCTGTTCATACTGACCTCATCCACAAGTCCTAGAGCAGGGAGTGGCTGCTGGGAAGCAAGAGAAATGGAAGACCACAGCAAGCAAAGTGGGAGCTGGAAGTTAACCTATCTTTCCAGATCCTTTTGACAAGTCTTGGGGTCTCATCCCACTACTACCTTGCTTTCCTGTAGTGGGATTTTTTGTTTTATTTTGATGTGATGTCAGGGTGTAGTGTTGGGTTTGGAGTTAGAAAGACCTGGGTTCAAATCCTGTCTCAAGACACTGTCCAACCATTAACAAGTCATGTAACCACTCTGTGCCTCAGTTTCCTCATTTGTAAAACGAGGGGGTTGTACTCTCTGGTTTCTAAGGTCCCTTCAGGCTGTAAGTCTTATCCTGTGACTTATGGAAGCAGTCAGGGAATGAGGCTGAATGAACCTGCCCTTTGAGTGGCCTCCAGATCAGAACATGAATGCCCCGACATGTGACTGGGATTCTGTTTGTCCTCTGCTAGGGTCAGGTCTTGATGTGCCCGTCCCCGTGTCTGTGTGCCTGTTGGTGCATTTGTGAGAGCCACGTGCTTAGTAGAGTGGGGCCTGTATCCATTAGCCCACGTCTGTGAGGGTACTGTCTGATCTGCCTGTTGGTAGGAGGAGGGGGACGGAAGCTAGTTCTGTGGCTCAGGACAGTGGGATGACTTCCCTGCTCCACGAGCCACCTGTGCCCCACCCAGTGCCCTTTGGTAAGGCATCTGTGGTGTGAGAACAGTTGAAGCTCCCAGTCCTGAGGTGGGAGGATTGGAGAGGTTTGGTGGGGCAGGGAAGAAGAGAGTGTCAAGAGCCTCTTCTTGGAGCTGTCCTGCTCTCACTCAGTTTACCACCAATCCCAACGTTAATCCCTTCTTTCAACTGCCATAGTAGATGCTTCTTATAAGTTGGCCCCACACCTGATGAAAATTGGACCTAGGACTTCCTCTCAGAATCCTTCCACAGAATCACATTATCTCAGAGTGGGAAGGGGCCCACAGAATACATCTAATTGAACCCAAACCTGAACAGGAATCTGTTTCTGGTGATGGGTCATCCAGCCTTTGTTCAGAGACCTCCAGTGATGGGGAACTCATTACCTTGCATGACAATCCAAGACACCTTTAAGTCACTCTTAAGTGGTTTTTTTTAACTTACATGTAATGGAAGTTTGTATCCCTGAAACTTCCACTCAATCCCACCCTTTGGAGCCAAGCAGAATATGTCTAATCTCTTCCACATGAAAGCCTGTGTTCTTCCTCCATACCTTCCTACCTTACGCTCATCCCAAAGCTGTTGTGCTTCCTAACTATCTTCTGGGAAACCTGGATCCCCGATTTTGGGGCTGGAGAGCTGAGGAAGAAAAAGGTGAGAGTGTTGATTTCCCCACTCCCTCCCATCACCATCCCAGGCCTGGATGGAGTGGTGGTGCCTGAATGGGGAAAGGCCACCTTCTGGTGGAAGAGGAGGAGGAATATTCACTTAGGGATATCGCTGCTGCTTCCTTCCCTTTGATTGACACGCATACACACACATGTGCAGCTACATACATACGTGTACAGATGCAGACACCAGAACACATGTAAATGTAGGTGTGCTCACTGCTCCCCCCACCCCACATGCTCTACCATAGTGCCTTGTGAGCAGGAAGAAGTAATGATATTTCACATTGATGAGTGTCTTAAGCTTCATCAAGCACTTTGACGTGCATTATACCAGGTACCAGTAACATCTCAGAGAGGGACAGTCTGTCAGAACTAGTCAAAGGTTCTGAACATGTTTTAGTACACACACGTGTAGTCACTTGCAGATAAAAAATAGTCCTACGAACTGACAAAGGGACCCCAGCTCCATGCCCTTGTGAAGCCCCAGGCATCTTCCTACCTGTCTATCCACTGCTGCTGCTCAACCTCCCAGTGAAGAAAAGGAAAAAAGGGTACTGTGGCGGGGGAAGGGAAGGGAATGACCCAAACGCCATCGGTTGCTCTCAAAGTATAAGCCTGGCCTCCCTCTCCAGGGAGAAATGAATACCATTTGACAGGAGGGACAGAGGCCATCAGCGCTGAGGGTCAGAGGAGGAACTATCCTGGAGCCAGGGGATGGAAAGAGGCTGGTCTAGGCTTAGGGAGGAGTCCAGACTAAGGAGGGGGCAGTCAAGAAAAGGACTAGCCTGGGGTAGAGGCCAGGGGACTGATGGTCCTTGGGCAGGGTCGGGAAGACGTGCACTAAGGCTAGGTTAGCTCAGAGTTCAGCACCTCGGCCCGGACAGCTCCGGGGCTAGGAGGTCTGGAGGTAGCAGCTGGCCTCACTCCTAGAGCTGGAGGGAGTAGCGAGGAGCAGGGGGAAAGTCGGAGAAAAGGGGGGAGGCTGGAGAGGGTAAAGGGGGAGAAAGGAGAGAGGGAAAGGGGGGGCTGAAGAGGAGTGACGGAGCGGGCGGGCAGAGCCAGCAGGGAGGAAAGGGGAGGAGGGGCCGGGGGCGGGGCAGGCGGGAATGAAAGCGGCTGGGAGAGCTGGGCGGCAGGAGAGCGGCTCGGAGCCCGGGCTGGAGCCAGAGCCAGAACGGAGAAGCCAGGAGCCCAGAACCCAAGCATTCGCCGAGTTGATCTCCGTCTCCGAACCGAGCCAAGGCAGGTAAGGCGAGCTCTGGCTCCCTCCCTGGAGCCTGAGGGCCCGCCCTGTCCCAGTCCCAAGAGCCCCTGAAGGTGGGGAGGATGAGCCCCGTCCTGCCTTCCTGTTCTACCTCAGGGCTCTGACTCAGTCTGGGTCCCTCTCCATCACTGCCTCTGTCTCAGTCCTGCCGTCTCTTTTCAGTGTTTCTGTCGTTTTCTCAGTCCACCTCTCCCCCGTCAGTATCTCTGAATCTCTCCTCCACACCCCCGTCTGTGTCTTTTTCCTTGTCCTTTCTTTCAACCCCCTCCCTGTCTCCGACTTCTTGTTTCTGTCTCTGTTTCTCTCCCTTCCCTGTCTATCTCTCCCCCATTCTTGTCTCTCTTCTTCCTCTCCACCTCTGTTTCTCTTCCCCCCTCTTGTTTCACCCCCCTCCATGTCTGTTTCTCCCCACTCTTCTCTGGTTGTCACCCCCTTTTAGATTCCCCCTCCTCCGTCTCTAGAGTCTCTGATCCTGCCTCCTCCATTTCTCGGTCTGTCTCTCCTCCTATTCCTGGATCCTCACAGAGTGTCTTATATTCTCTTATGGAGAGAATGGGGTTAACCCCATAGATATAAATAGGGGGTAGTGACAGGGCTCCCAAGAGGAAGAGAGATCCTATTGAGCCAGGGAAGAAAACAGTAAGGTCAGGTGGCCATCAGAGATGTCAAAAACCTTGGATTGGGTTGTCAGAACACTTGAAACCTAATCAGGTGACCCTGAACAAGTGTCTCTTTTCCCCTGGGCCTCAGTTTTACCCAACTTGTGCCTTTTGTGAAAAGGTGACATTTCCCAGGGAAGAAGTGTATGCATTTAGCTGCAAGACTGTGTGTGAGCATCAAGGAGTCTGCATGTATATGTGAGGAAGGAGAGCTGTATGTGTGTTGGTGACAAAGAATGCAAAATGTGTATGCTGGGAGGGAACTGATGGGAGATATTTGCCAAGCTGAGGAAACTGAGTCACTGAAATAGCATCTCCTTCTCCTGCCCCCACCCTTTTACCTCAGGGTAATAGATAGGAACCTAGACCCAGCTTTTGGGTGCCTTTCTGATGCCTGAGGGAAAGTGTAGGAACTAACCAACTTCCCCCACATTTCTGACCTGAATCACACACATTCAGACACATACACAAATTTGAGCACACATTGAGAAAGACATTCACAAATGCATACAGACACACCCACCTGTATATACACAGGCAGCCATATACACCTGTAACACAGTTACTCAGCCATACAAGCAGAAATATAGAGAGCCAACTATGCAGAAGCTTAAAATGCCTGGTTTCCCTCTCATCTTCCCCCCTCCCCCCTACAACACACATATCTTGGTCAACTGTTGGGAATCCATCAGCAAAAAACAGACTAGGAGGGGACTGTGTGACACTGGAAAGACACCTAAGTTCATCCAGCTTGGTCCTAGCCACCCCAGGTCTCCAAGTTAACTCAGAGGCCCTTCTTCCTCTTAAAAGAGCCTCTGCCCAGGTATTGCCTAGAAACTGAATTACACAAATCAGAGATCTTAGCATGCACTGCTGTTGTGGTGAGGCCCTCACCAGATACTGTGCTGTTTAAACCAGGTATCTGAGAATGCTGTGACATTTGCATGAGATCTCCCTCCACTTCTGTCCAAGGCTGTGTCTCCTTTCCCAGGCCCAGCTGAGAAACTCTCTCTCTCTCTCTCTCTCTCTCTCTCTCTCTCTCTTCTCTCTCTCTCTCTCTCTCCCCCCCTCTCTCTCTCTCTCTTTCCCCACTCCCCTCCATGCCAGCCCCTGGAAAAGATCAGGGACCACATAGTGAAGGACAGAAGGACGGGGGAAGAAAATGGGGCCCTGGGAAATAGGTCAGAAGCCAATCACTGTCACCCCTTCAGCTTAATGAATAATCTTTTTTCTCTGGTCCTGGACTCCCAAAGTAAACTCTCTCATTTCCCTCAAGAGTGTGATTGAGTATGTGAGATGGGAGTGTTGGGGAAGCCCACTGGGTTTTCCCTTTCGCCCAGCTTCCATGTTTCTGGTCTCTCTGCAGGTGCTGTTCTCTCTCTGTTCTCCCTCCTCTCCCACTCCCTTTATCCTCACTTTGTCTTTTTTTCCACTCTAGCCCATCAGCTTCTTTCCAACCCACTGCCTCCTATTCCTTCTCTTTCATCCAACACTCTTCTTTCCTTCTCTTCCCAGTGAATCCTTTGCCTCATCTTCCTTCTGTCTTCTCTCCCTTCATCTTTCTGTCTTTTCTCCCCTCTAGCTGATCCTTTCTTCCCTTTCATTATCTCTTTTCCTCCTCCTTTTGCTTCCCCACCTCTGCTACCTGTTTCATCTCCTTCCTTCTCTCACTCTCTCCCCCCCCTTTCTATTTTTCTCTCCTTTCTCCTCTCCCCTGCCTCTTGTCTCTCTCATCACTTCTCCCCTCCCCTCACACCTCCCCTTCCCTCTTCCTTTGTTTCTCTTTTCTCCTCTACCTCTCCCCTTCTGATTCCCTTCTCTTCTCCCCATTCTCCTCTTTCCTCCCTCTCTTCCTCCTCTTTCTCTTCCTCTACCTCTTTTTTCTCTTCCCCTTTCCCCCTACCCATTTATATCCTCCTTTTGTTTTCTCTCCTCTCTCTCTGTCTCCTCTCCCTAATCCCATCCGGGACCTCGGTCAGGTGCCCTCAAAATGGGGCCAACTCTGCCTTTGCTGCTGCTGCTGCTGTTGCTGCTGTGGGGAGCCAGGGGTGGGGCCGAGGCGGGAGCTGGGAGCCCAGGCAAGAAGACCCTAAGCCTGGCGGGGGACCTGGTTCTGGGCGGGCTGTTCCCGGTGCACCAGAAGGGGGTCCCAGGGGCTGGGGGGGAACGGGGAGTGCGGCGGCCCTGTGAACGAACAGCGCGGTGTGCAGCGCCTGGAAGCCATGCTCTTCGCCTTGGATCGCATCAACGGTGACCCGAGGCTGCTGCCTGGCGTGCGTCTGGGCGCGCACATCCTGGACAGCTGTTCCACCGACACGCACGCACTAGAGCAGGCTCTGGACTTCGTGCGCGCCTCCCTCAGCCGCGGCGCCCCAGGCTCCCGCCACGTGTGCCCCGACGGCTCCTACGCCATCCACGGCGAGCCGCCCACAGCCATCACCGGCGTCATCGGCGGCTCCTACAGCGACGTCTCTATCCAGGTCCGCGGGGAGGAGGGCCTGGGCAGGGGTAGAGTAGTCTTGGTTAGGGACAAGGGCAGGGGCCGGGGCAGAGAAAGGGGTGGGAGGGGCAGTAGGGTACAGGCACAGAAGCACGGGAGAGGAAAGAAAAGAGATGCAGAGAGATAGAGACAATAAGACACCTTAATAGAGAAGGAAGGAGAATGAGAAACAGAAAAAAGTAGTCCGAGGCAGAGAGGGAGTGTGAAATAGAGATAGCAAGACAGAGCGATGCACTGAGACGGATGTGAGAGACAGACAAGAATGAGAAATGAAAGCACAGCATCTCAAGCCTTCAGAAGGTCCATCTATAGGCATCTAGTCCAATCCCTTCCTTCCTGATACATTTGGGGGAAAGTGAGCTGCTCCGTAGCCTTTGCTAGAAGAGCTCCAAAAGCAGCCCGTTCCATTTCTAGACAGCCCTAATGGAGACAAGGGGAGTGAGAAAAGGACGTACAGAGACAAAGATAGAGACAGAAAGACAGAGACAGAAAGGGTGTGTTGTAAGAAGGAGATGGAGAGGCAGACACGATGAGCAAAAGACAGGCAACGGGAATGGGGGGGAAACAGAGATAGTGAGAGATCTGGAGAAATATGGATAGAGACGGCAAGGCAGAGCTCACGAAATGCTAAGGACCCTGCAAGAAACATCTTGGGGGAAGGGGGAAGAAGAGAAGAGGACAGATTGTATGACACAGAGGCAGATGAAAAAGAGGGGCCCAGGAAGAGAATAGACTGAAATTGATCCTCAAAACAACCTTGTGAGGTAGATGCTATCTCAGTCTTATAGGAAACTGAGGCTCCTAAGAGTGGAGTGATATGCCAATGGCCACATAGCTAGTATCTCAGGCAAGATTTGATCCAGGTCTTCAGGACATCACACCCTGTGCTTTTTCCAGTATGCCACTGATGCTTCTGAATAGAAATAGAAACAGGTAGTGAAAGACAGGGATTCTTGAAGAGAGAATTAGAGACAGGACAGAGAGACAGGGAGATAGTGAGACTCAAAGGCAGGAAGACAAGTTAGAGAAATGTACAAGGAGATGGAGGTGGAAAGAAAGGCCAATGGACAGAGAAACGAAGACTGAAATCTGGAGAGATAGGTCAGCAGATATCTGGATGGGATGAGTGGAAGGGAATGAAATAGGAAGAAGAGGTTTTGGATATGAGGGGAGGTATTGGGATGAGAAGACACCCTCCTATGGTAGGGGCACCCACATGTCCAGGAGGACACCAGGACATCCACATACGCACATGCACAATACACATGTGTACATACATTTATACACCAGTCCCTTTCTCCTTTCCCTCAACATCTAGCTCTGTCTGGAAGGCCTGAAGAGGGAATCCTGTTGCGAAGGCCCCTGGGGAGGGGTGAGCCAATGCAGGCCCAGCTGAGGTCTTGTCTGCTCTTACCATCTGCCATTCTGGCCCATGAGAGACAGGGTCCGGGGTCAGGGTTTCCCCTTCTTTCCCTTCCCCTCCCCTCATTGTCAGGTACCTTCTTAGCTGGCGCTGTCCAGTCCCCAAGGCACTCCACCAGGCAGTGGCCCTTGCCAAGGACAGAACTCAAGAATCCTGATCCCCAGCTGGTCCCCACCCCAAGCTAGCAGTAGCTGTACAACGTACAGCCTGGAGTAGAAAGGAGAGAGGAAAAAAGCCAAGGGAAGAGGGCTATTCCCAACTGCAACAGAAGACAGTCAAGCAAGTGCTGGGAGCAAGGCTTCCTGGGTCCACCCTCCTGTGGGAGGAGGGGGTAGAGGGGCCCTAGTTCTCCTTTCGGAGATAATGTAGAGCAGCCTCCTATAAATTAGTCAGGAGGCAGAGGGGATGGTAGGGGAATGGGGTGAGGATCTTCCCTAGGAAGGGAGGAAGAGAGCCTGGAGGTCCCTACTACCTGCCTAACCTTCCTAAACTTGGGCACATTCTGTTCCCTCTCTGGTATTGTTTACATATCTGTAAACTGAGCATTGAACGAGAAGCTCTCTCCAAGGTCCTTGCCCGGTACTGAGTCCAGGATTCCCTAGGGCCTGGGTCAGTGGAGGATCGGCTAAAGGGACCAGGCCAGGCCAGACCAGATTAGACCAGATTAGTCCAGTCCATACTCTTTATTGAAAGAGGTAGAGTTCGCGCGGTCCCTCCGCAGCTACCGCAGCCTCTAGGGCTCCAGAATTTTTAAACCAGAATTTTTATATCGATTTCCAAATGCTCTGCCGTCGTGTGGTCGCTTTCTGGTTTTCGGTTTCGTCTGGCGTACCAGCGCCAGTACGCCTGGATGATGCAGGCTGCAGCCCGCGCCCGACAGAAGCAGCGGCGAATACGCCACATGCGCACCCGAGCCTGCAGCTTGACCACGGCGCTCTCCTGCCGCGAGTAGAGCAGCAGCATCGTCCGCCGTCGTTTGTCCAGTGCCTGGGCCAGCACAGCCCGCCACCAGCACTGAATGATCCGGGCACGGAGGGCTGCGTGCAGCAACGCCCGTCGCACCAGCAGGCCCCTCCACCAGGCTTGGATCTTGATGGCTGCCTCAATCTCGTCCTGGGGTAGAAGGGGGTCTGCTCAGAGGGGGAAAGGGAGGCTTTCTCCCAGCCTTGACCCTGACCCTCAGCCGGGAATGCACTGGTCCTTCACCCCCTCTCTTCTTCTTCTTCCCTAGCCCGTCTGCTATCTTCTCTTGGCAATCTCTCTGCTTCTCCCATCCCCTCACTTCCCCTACACAGTCCTCTCCTCTCCTCCCTCCTCCTCAATTCCTGCTCTTCCTTATTCTCTTTTTTCTTCTCCCTCTCCTCTCTTCTCCCGATTCGTTTCTCTTCTCCCTATTCTTCTCCTTTTATTCTCTCTCTCTCTCTCTCTCTCTCTCTCTCTCTCTCTCTCTCTCTCTCTCACACACACACACACACACACACACACACACACACTTTCTCCCCTCATTTTTCTCTCTCCTATTCTCCCTCCTCTCCTCCATCTTTTCTCTCCCTTTTCTCCTCTCCCTTTCCTCTCTACTCTTTCCTCAGACCTAGAAGGAACTTCAGACATCATCTAGCTGACTCATAGCTCATACCTGACCTGATCAAGAATCCCTCTGCAACATTCTCAACAAGGGATCATCCATTTGTCACTTGAGGAATTAAAGTGAAGGAGAAAACCCATTACTTCTAGAAGTAAAACATTTCACCTTTGGTGAGCCCTAATTTTGAGAAGCTTTCCTCCCCATGGAGCCTAAATCTGCCTCTTTACACTTCCCAACCTTTGCTTTTGGTTCTACCCTCCAGAACCAAGCAAAGAAATCAAATGGAGCCTTATTTCATGTGACACTTTTGCAGATACTTGAAAATAAGGATCATGTCTCCCTCCTCCCCTCCAAGTGTTTCTTCTCCTAGTTAAATAACCTCAGGGCCTTCAACCAATCCTTTGGTGGCATAGTCTTCAGTCTCCCAAATCCTGACTCCCCAACTAGTTAACATCCTTCCTTGAGCGTGGTGCCCTGAACTAAGCACAACTCTCTATGGGATCTGCAGAACCATGGTATCTTTTGTTCTGGACACCAGGCCTCTAGATGCAGCTCTAAGGGCCTTAGCTGGCCAGATGGACAGCAATGTAGTACTATGGACTCATAGGGAGCTTGCAGGTCACTCTTTAGGTGCAGTCATTTAACCAGCTCAAACTCTGTCTGATACTATTGTCTAACCCACAATTCTCCATCTTGTCTGGAAGAACAACATAAGAAACTTTGAACAATGCTTGATTGAAATCAAAGTCAACTACCAGTTGACCACAACTACCTGATCTGCCAGTCCAATTACTCTGTCAAAAGAGGAATAAGCCTAGTTTGGCATGATGTCTTAAAGATATCTTGGCATTCATTGCTTTCTGTTCCGGATGTTCCCAAGCTAAGCCTTTAATTATATGGTCTATATTCCCCCCCCCATTGAAGTTGAATTCACTGGCTTGCATACTTTCCTCTTGTTTCCCTCCCCTTCTCCCAAGTCTGAATATTTGCTTTCCTCTAGTTCTGCAGCACCTCACAAAATCTTTCAAAGATCACTGATAGTGCCTCAGTAAAAGGCTCAATAGTCTCATCCAGCAGTTCTTGCAGTATCCTGGACTGCACTTGGCCTGGCAACTTGAAGTGAAGAGAGCAGCTGTGTGCTTTCTTCTGTATTTCCTCACTTTTGTCTCCCTTCTCTCCTTTCTGCTCTCCATCTTCCTTCTCCCTCCCATAGTTCTCCACCAGCTTTCCTTTTCTCTTCTTTCTTCTTCCCTTCCTTCTTGCTCCCTCCCTTCCTTCCTTTTCTTTCCTCTTCTCTAGTCTCCTCTCTCCTTTTTTATTCCTCTCCTCTCCTTCCTTTTCTCTCTTGTCTCTCCCTTCCTCTCTCCTTTTTTTGTTCTATTCTCCCCTCTCCCCTTCTCTTTCTTCTCTTCTCCTACCAGCCCCTACTCCATGCATGGATCAAGTCCAGCTATGGATTCCCCATCAACCCTCATCTTCAAGCCTTTTTCCCAAATCTCTTGCCCCAGTCTTCTTAACAAAACAAAAACAAAAAACACTTTTCTATTTCCTAACCCCAAATCACTCTACTGCCCCCTTGGTCCATCCAATCCCACACCAAGGACTCAAAGCAAAAACCCTGCCTCCTCCAAGATGCCTCTCCCTACCTCTGCTTCTCCATTTATTTCTGATTCTTCTGTTTCTCGCTCCTTCTTTTTCCTTCTTTGTGCTGCCTAGTGTGGAGGAGAGGGAGAAGGGGAGGGGTGAAGAGGGAGAAAGGAAGCTGTCCAACTCCTCACACCCCAATCCAGACTCTAAGGGACCTAAAGCCCCCAGCACCATTCTGGATTTGCTCAGGGATCTCCAGAGGTAATCTGGTCCTTCCCTTTCTTCAGGGAAGATCAACCCTTGGTCCAAATCAGCCTTTTCCTCCCTGAAAATATGAGGACCTCCAGGCTCTTGCCCACTATCACTGTTCTATCCCTTACACAGACTAGACTTCCCATGGCTTCCAGACAGATGATGGTTCAGCTGTCTTCTTGACCTTAGCTTAGGCAGCCCTGGCGTGGTCTGAAAAGGCAGCCCTGGCATGGTCTGAAAAGGGGGTTACAGGGTCATCTATGAGGTCACAAGAGTGACTCTGACTCATTTCCATCCAACCACTGAGGGAGAAAAGGATAGAGGTTAGACTCTCACTGGTGGGGACAGAGTTCTAAAGAAGTGGGGCTCCTGGGTCTCTAAGGGAAGGAAACATGAAGTCCTCCCAGTAAAATGGGGACTGTGGGAAGGACCTGAATGAGGAATAGTTAGAGCAGTGGTGATGGGAGCAGGTCACCCAAACTAAAGCTCAAGAAGCAGGACTGAATTCCACCTGGGAAGGGGTGAGTCTACAAGCCATGTGTCCAAGGAGTGGAGAGATTCCTTGGGAGGTCTCTTCTAGGGAGCGAGTGAGCTAGGAACCTGGTTTAGTCCCCAACAAGTATCAGATAAGTCATTCAATCTGAAACTCCTGGGACGCTGACTTTCAGACACCTGCCTTCTCTTCCAGGTAGCCAACCTCCTCCGGCTTTTCCAAATCCCACAGATCAGCTATGCATCAACCAGTGCTAAGCTCAGCGACAAGTCCCGTTATGATTACTTTGCTCGTACAGTACCTCCAGACTTCTACCAGGCCAAGGCCATGGCTGAGATCCTCCGCTTCTTCAACTGGACCTACGTATCAACTGTGGCCTCAGAGGGGGACTATGGGGAGACTGGAATTGAGGCCTTTGAGCTGGAGGCCCGGGCCCACAACATCTGTGTGGCCACCTCAGAGAAGGTGGGCCGGGCCATGAGTCGGGCTGCCTTTGAGGGTGTGGTTCGGGCCCTGTTGCAGAAACCCAGTGCCCGAGTAGCTGTTGTGTTTGCTCGCTCTGAGGATGCCCGTGAACTTTTGGCAGCTGCCCAACGCCTCAATGCCTCCTTCACGTGGGTGGCCAGTGACGGCTGGGGTGCCCTGGAAAGTGTGGTGGCAGGCAGTGAAGGGGCAGCAGAGGGTGCTCTCACTATTGAACTGGCCTCCTACCCCATCAGTGACTTTGCCACCTATTTTCGAGCCCTTGACCCATGGAACAACAGCCGAAATCCTTGGTTTAGAGAATTCTGGGAGCAGAAGTTTGGGTGTAGCTTCCGCCGGCGGGACTGTGGGGTCCACTCACTCAAGACAGGACCCTTTGAGCAGGAGTCCAAAATTATGTTTGTGGTCAATGCCGTGTACGCCATGGCCCACAGCTTACACAACATGCACCAGGCCTTGTGTCCCAACACCACCCATCTCTGTGATGCCATGCGCCCTGTCAATGGGAAGCGACTCTACAAAGACTTCATGCTCAATGTCAAGTTTGATGGTAATGAGTCTTTTTTTTCAATTTTACAAGCATTTATTAAGTACCTACTATGTGCAATACCCTGAGCTAGTGCTAAGGATATAGAGATAGTAAAAAGAAAAATGGCATAGTTACTCTTCACAGGAATTATAGTCTAATAGGAAGGATATATGTGTGTGCATGTGAGTGTGTGTGGGGGGGTGGGAGAAATCCAGACAAAATGTGAGGAAAATAGGAGGTGGGAGAGAGTAGTAGGACAAATCAAGTTACTTCCTTGACTCAGATCACATGGGTAGTAGGAAGATAATTCCCTGATCCCCAGTCAGACCATTTCTCCTAAACCATACAGCCTAGATGGATAGTCTGCTCAATACACAGGAGAGAAAGTAGGAAGATTTGGGGCAGCTAGCTGGGGGGCTAGTTTGTTTGGAATAAAAGATCAAGGACAATAACTACGGAGCAAAAGGCCAACCCAGATAACAATTGAGAGGTTTTGATGATAGGGATGACCATCTGTGTGCAATACACCTTGGATGGGGATGGAGGACATGGGCTGTTGGCCCTGTCACATGGATGGGGGGAAACTGAGGTGAGGCGAAGGCAAAAGCTGTGTCCCAAGTTACACAGGTAAGCTTAGTGGCAGAGGCAAGATTACTGTCAGGCCTTAAATCAGAGCTCTGTCAACTGGACCTTGGAAAGGCAGTCTTAGAAGTAGAGAGATGAAGAAGAGCAGTGTTTGGAGATGTGATGGCTACCTAAAGAGTGAGGTCTGGAGGAGGGGAGTCGTTCAAGCTTACTTGGACTCCCAGGGAGTGGAGGAGGATGTAAGGAGCCATGAAATAATCTAAAGTAGGGGATCTCCCTCTAGCCCCACAACCCTAAGCTCAGGATGAGGACAAGCATGTAAAGAGGGGACAGTCAGTCCTAGTCAATAAGCATTGTACTAAACATCTACTGACTAATACCCACCCTCCCCCTCAATCACTAACCATCCCGGGACTGTAGAGGCAGAAGGAGGTGAGGGTTCTGGGTACTAGATGTGAAAGGCTCGGCAAAGACTGGTGGGGTAGCCTGAGGGAGGGGGAAACTGGTTGGGGTTGATGTGAAGGGTCAGATTAAGGGTCAGGCGATGGGAAGAGTCATTGTCCAACTGCTTTCTGTCCCCACAAGGTTATATTCATTCCATATAATACTATGGAGTTCTCATGAGTTTTAACCCTAAAACATAGCTAGTTTAAATTTATTTCCTTGAAGAAAAAAAAAACATATATCAAGAACGTGTTCTTTGGAGGGAAGGCACGAGCTATTGTGAAAACAAGGGCAAAATGTCATGATTTCAGAAGGCCTAGGAATTACTGGATCAACATAATTCAATGTAAGTATCAATCCTAGGTAGCTATGTGGAACAGTGGCTAGATACCTGGACCCAAAGTCAGGAAGACCCAAGGTCAAATCAATCCTCAGATAGTTACTAGCTGTGTGATTCCAGCATGTCACTTAACCTCTCTCCGTCAGTTTTTCCTCATCAGTAAGACGGAGGTAATCATAACTCCTACCTGTCTGGGTTGTTTGGGAGGATAAAATGGGATCATATTTGTAACCACTTTGTACACCTTAAAGTGCTCTGCAAATGCTAGCTATTGTTATCAATAATTGTGAGACACAGGCCACTAAAAGCTGCATTAATTAACTTAATTAATGAATGATCTTGGGTTGCATTGATAACCCACAGCATCATCCCCAGGCAGAAAGGTGAGAGTTCTGCTGTTTACTCTAAGCATCACATCTTAGGTGGGGGCACTAAGTAGCTGGGACCTACCCAGAAGGGGGTGACCAGCATGCTAAGAATATGGAGGATCCCTGAAGGAACTGGGGGTGTTTGGCCTAGAGGAGAGAAGCATCAGGAAGACCCAATCACAGTCTGCAAATAGCTGAAGGGCCAGCATGAGAAAGCAAGATTAAACTTTCCTTTACTTACTTGGCCCTGGAGGGCAGAACTAATAATAACAGCTGCCCTTTCAATCTGGCTTTCAAGTTTGCAAAGGGTTTTGTGGATTTGATCTCGTTTGAGCTTCCTAAGAACAGTGAGTTGGACATAGCCATTACTATTATCCCCATTTTAGAGATGAAAAAATTGAGGTCCAGAAGAGTTAAGTGATTTGCCGAAGGTGGCACAGGGTACTCCCAGCAGAGCAGGGATTGATGCACATCAGAGCTGGGAATGGAATTAATATTACATTAGTGTCAGGATTGTGTTTGGGATTGGGTGGGGTGTAGGTAAGGGTCATTTGGGAAACTGTGTAAATTAGAATTGCTGTTAGGTGTGGTTTTGAGTTGGGGATTGGTCTGATGGGGCTAATGCTGCAGCTGAGCAAGGCCGTAAGGCTGGAGGAAATCAAGGCAGGCTGCTGTTTATCCTACATTCTCAAAGCAGACCATGACATCAGGAAGGGGACTTGCAAGTCAATTGGATTTGAGTGAGGGAGGGCTGTGCAAGGTCATCAGCCTCACTTTCTCCTCCGGAGCCATCTGGGTCCAGTGGCCAGATATAGACCGGGAGATGACTGGAGATGGACCCCACATCAAGGCTATGGTTTAATGATGGAGTTAAAGTCAGGATTATTGGTTTGAGGGTGAATGTAAGGTTAAAGCTGATGATTAGTATTTGTGTTTAGGGTGGGTTTATGAGCCGTTTGGGGTTTAGGCTCAGTGGAGGGTTAGATTTAGTGGCTAGGAGAGGTTTAGAGTTGGGTTCAAAGCTGAGTAGAATTCAGGTTTGGGGTTAGGGCTTGGTTAAGGATTAGAGTCAATGACTCTAAACTCAAGACTCAGTTCCCTTACTTGTTTCCTCCTTCTCTTCCCCTCCCCCCAGCACCATTCCGCCCGGCTGACACCCACAACGAGGTGCGCTTCGACCGCTTTGGCGATGGCATCGGCCGATACAATATCTTCACCTACCTCCGCGCAGGCAGCGGACGCTACCGCTACCGAAAGGTTGGCTATTGGGCTGAGGGCCTGAGTCTGGACACCAGCCTCATCCCATGGGCCTCAACCCAAGGCACTGCCCTCCCGGCCTCCAGATGCAGCGAACCCTGCCTGAAGAATGAGATGAAGAGTGTCCAGCCGGGTGATGTCTGCTGCTGGCTCTGCATTCCCTGCCAGCCCTATGAGTATCTGAAGGATGAGTTCACCTGCACTGATTGTGGGTTGGGCTACTGGCCCAATGCAAGCCTCTCCGGGTGCTTTGAGCTGCCCCAAGAGTACATCCGCTGGGGAGATGCGTGGGCCCTGGGGCCAGTCACAATCTCCTGCTTGGGCTTCCTCGCCACCCTCTTTGTTCTGGGCGTATTCGTCCGCCACAATGGGACACCTGTGGTCAAAGCCTCAGGCAGGGAGCTCTGCTACATCCTTCTGGCTGGTGTCCTGCTCTGCTATTCCATGACTTTCGTGTTCATTGCCAAGCCCTCCACGGCGGTATGTGCCCTCCGACGACTTGGCTTGGGCACTGCCTTCTCTGTCTGCTATTCGGCACTGCTCACCAAGACAAACCGCATCGCACGCATTTTTGGTGGCGGCGCCCGAGACGGAGCCCGGCGCCCACGTTTCATAAGCCCCGCTTCCCAGGTGGCCATCTGTCTGGCCCTCATCTCGGGCCAGCTGCTCATCGTGACCATCTGGCTGCTGGTGGAGGCTCCGGGCACAGGCAAGGAGACAGGGCCCGAGAGGAGAGAAGTGGTAACCCTGCGCTGCAACCATCGGGACTCCAGTATGCTGGCTTCTCTCGCCTACAATGTGCTGCTCATTGCACTGTGCACCCTCTATGCCTTCAAGACCCGCAAGTGTCCAGAGAACTTTAACGAGGCCAAATTCATCGGCTTCACCATGTACACCACCTGCATCATCTGGCTGGCCTTTCTGCCCATCTTCTATGTCACCTCCAGTGACTACAGGGTGAGCCGGGACATAGGGTAGGCTGGGAATGAAGGCTGAGCGGGTCACAGAAGTAGACCAGAGGGATGGGAGAAGGAACAAATGGAGGGAGAGAATGGAAGGGGGGGGTGGGGGGGGTGGAAGCCCGGGGCAGGGTGGAGGAAGATGAAGCAAAAACAACACATTTCTGTAGATCTTTAATCCTTTCCAATCCATTTTGGGGGGGGTTAAGCAACAGGGTTAAGCGACTTGCCCAGGGTCACATAGCTAGTAAGTATCAAGTGTCTGAGGTCGGTTTTGAACTCAGGTCCTCCTGACTCCAGAGATAGTGCTTTATCTACTGCCCCACCTACCTGCCCTCCAATCCATTTTCTTATTTCTTCATCTCACTTTCCCACACACATGTTATTATCCCCATTTTACGGATGAGGAAACTCAGGGAAACAAAGGCTACAAAGCTAGTAGCAGTGCTGGGATTCAAACCCAGGTTCTTTGACTTCAGATTAACCAACAATCACTCATCAGTAAGCATTTATTAAATGTTTACTCTGTGCCAGACATGTGCTAAACACTTGGGATGCACATAAAGGGCACAGTGCCTGGCCTCAAGGAGCTTACATTCCAAAGTCAGCAAACACTGTTTCCACTCTCCCCTAGCACCTCAGCAGGAGAGGGACTTGGCTGAATTCAAGTGCCTGATTGTATAGGACATGTGGGAGAGAGAAAGGTACATGGGTGGATTAGGGATAGAAATAGAAGAAAGGTACAAGAGAAAATAGCTGGGGGGGAGGGAGAAGAAGGAGGGAAAGATATGATTGGGGTGGGGTCATAGGATCACAGATTTAGAGCTGGAAGTCAGACTCCAGGGGCCAAGAAGTCCAACATCCTCATGTTATAGAAGAGGAAATTTAGAGGCACAGAGGTGTTAAGTGATTTGCCCAGGATCCCACATGGAGTAAGCATCTAAGATGAGATTTAAACCCTTTTCTCAAGTCCAGTGCATGTTGGAAGAGATAAGTTAGGATTCCCTAAGCTATTTCAGTCCTACTATGAGCCTCAGTTTGGGGAGGAGGGAAGTACAGGTAATTTCTAGAATCCTTCTTCCTCCACTTGCCCCAAAGCTTCCCCTTGGCCAATGGATTCCTCTATCCTTGAACATAAATGACAATTGCTGTCTCTGACAGCTAACTCAGTTGTCATTTTCTGTTTAACTGAGACATGGCCAGGAACCCCTCCAAGCAGCTTACTGCTTGCCTTCAGCCTCTGTTGCCCTCCTTCACCGTCCACTACTGGGCTTTGGATAGTTATAGGACCTGGGTTTAAACCTGGCTTCTTACTTAACTTATGTGACATTGGGCAAATGTCTTCTATTGTTTATACCAGTTTCCTCGTCTGTAAAATAGAACAGTTGGACTAGATGTTCTGTGAGGTCCATTCCAATCTTAAATGTCATGAGTCGGCTTGACCTCAGCCATCATAGCACAGTGGTCAGAGTCCTGGACTTGGAGTCAGAAAGACATGTGTTCAAATTTCTTTTCAGGCACTTACTAGCTGTCATCCTAGGTAAGTTATTTAACTCTCTGCCTTATTTTCCCTCATGTGTAAGATGGACAGAATAAGACCTCTCTTGCCACCTCCCTACACAGTGTTGTTTTGAGGCCCAGATGAACTGAAATACATAAAGGACTCTGCAAATTTTAAAGCCCTAAATAAATGCCAGTTATTATTATTGTTACCAATTTCTAAAAGAAGCTTGTACAGAAGGATTATATTGTACCCGCGGAAGGGGCTTCCTGGCGACCTAAACACTAGTGTATTCAGTCATTTCAGTCATGTCTTACTGTCCGTGACCGCATTTGGGGTTTTCTTGGCAAAGACACTGGAATGGTTTGCCATTTCTTTCTTCGGCTCATTTTACTGATGAGGAAACTGAGGCAAACAGAGTTCAGTGACTTGCCCAGGGTCACACAGCTAGGAAGTGTCTGAGGCTGGATTTGAGCTCTGGTTGTTCTGACTCTAGGTTTGGCACTGTATTCATTGCACCACTTAGCCACCCCAAAACACCCGCATACAGGCCTCTAAAAATGAACAGGTCAGATATGAATCTCTATGGCCCCTTCTAGCTGACAATCCTCTGTTTTACTCAAATTTCAGCAGCATTTGGGGTTTCCAAAGAACTTTCCTCACAACCACCTTATGATATAGGAAAAGCATGTAATATCATACCCATTTTACAGATGAGGAAAGTTGAGTCTCAGAGAAGTTGACAGTCTAGAACTGGACCTTGAACGCAAGTCCTTGATCCCAGGGCTCTTTCATGTTAAAACTAGGGTCATGTCTTGCTCTAGAACAATAGAGTTGGAAGGGATCTCCCTTCCATCTGAGTTGGGGAGGTAGTGGGAAGTGTGCTCTATTTGGAAAGAGGAACAGCCTGAACTAGAATCCCACTGCTGATCCCTATTGGCTCTGCAGCCATGGTGGAGTCCCTCAGTCTCATCTGTAAAATGTGGTTGATGATGACGCCTGCCTCACAGCGGCGGTGTGAGGATGAAATGGGATGATGGGTGAAAAGTGCTTTGTAAATCATAAATCTCTACACAAATGTCCTAGGCTACTTTTATTGTCTGGCTGACTCCTCTCTGATGCAGGAATCCCTCCCACAATGTCCTTGACAAGGAGTCATCTGGCTTCTAGTCAAATATGCTAGTGATGGGAGCTCACTACTTGACAAGGCCGTGCATTTCTTTGTTATGTAGTTCTACTTGTTAAGGAATTCTAACATACTAAGCTGAAATCTGCCTTTGTGGGATTCCCCTGATCCTCTTTGGTCCCAGTTCTACCCTCTTACACCAAGCACTGAATCTTTTTTCTTTTCTTTTCTTTCTTTTTTTTTTTTGTGAGGCAATCAGGGTTAAGTGCCTTGTCCAGGGTCACACAGCTAGTAAATATTATATGTCTGAGGTCGGATTTGAACTCAGGCCATCTTGACTCCAAGGCCAGAGCTCTATCCACTGCGCCCCCTAGCTGCCCCTCTTTCTTTCTGTCTGTCTTTCTTCCTTTCTTTTCTTTCTCTTCCTTTTTCTGTCTTTTTCTTTCACCCTTTTCTTTTTCTTTCTCTTCTTCCTTCCCTCCTTCCTTACTCCATCCCTTTCTTCCTTTCTTTTTCCCTTGTTCCTTCTTCTTCCTCCTCTTCTTCTTTCTTTTTCTCTTTCTTTCTCTTTTTCTTTCTTTCCCTTCCTTTCTCCTCCCTTCTTTCTTTCATTTTTCTCCCTTCTTTCCTTCCTTCCTCTTTTATACTTCTATAACACTGACTTTTTATATCATAGACTTTTTTTATTTTAAAAAAATAGTGTTATTGATTTCTTTTGGTTTTAAATTGCTGTCATTTCTGGCTCTACCCCAACCCCATCAGAATTGAGCCCTCCTTTATATGAAGAATAACAGTTAAACAAAAACAACTGACCTTGTGACCGCCTCTGACAATGTTGATAGTATTCTCTGCTTGTACTTCCCCACCTCTTCTCAGATGAAGGATCTATATTTGATGAATTGTTCTCCTGGACCATTATTGAGTTGGTTATTTTTTTTTCCCAATTTTCCCAATTAACTTTGAGTTCAGCTACTTGCGTTCATTTACATTATTGTAGTGGTTGTATATCTTGTTCTTTTCCTTCTGATTCTTTTGCTCTATGTCAGTTCATATAAATCTTCCCATACTTCTCTCACTTCCTATATCTGTCATTTCTTATGGCGTGATAATATCCCATTATATTCACATGCCACAGTTCAGCCATTCCCTAGCCAATGGAAGCTCAGTTTCCAGTTCTTTCTTACCACAAAAGTGTTGTTCTGAATATTTTGGTATATATTAGACCTTTGTTTCTGTCTTTGACGTCCTTTGGGTATATGCCTAATAATGACATCATTGAGTTAAAGAATATGGATAGTTCAGTCATTTTTCTTGTATGATTCTAAATTGTTATCCAGAAGCATTAGAGCAGTTCACAGTTTCATCAATAGAGTGCTAGTATGCCTGCTTTCCCACAGTCAATTAACAAGCATTTATTAAGCACTTACTGTGTGCCAAATACTGCTATGGATACAAAGAAAAAGAATAGTCTCTAGCCTCAAGAGGCTTACATTCTAATAGGGGAGACAACATGTTCATTAAAATTGGTACATGCAAAATAAATACAGCGTAGATGGAAGGTAGCTTTAAACAAGAAACACGGAATATGGAAGCATATGGAGGGTGGCGAAGGGAGGACCAGAAAGGTGCTTGAAGGAAGTCAAGGATTCTCTCTCAGAGAAGAAGTTAAGGAAGAGAACACTGTAGGCATGGGGGACAACCAGTGCTAAGACCCAAAGACAGAAGATGGAACATTGTGTGTGAGGAATAGTCAGTAGGGCTACACCATAGAGGATGTAGCAGGAGGTAATATATAAGAAGACTAGAAAGATTAGAAGGAACTAAGTTGTGAAGAGCTTTAAACACCCAAGACATATGTTTATGTGTGATTCTAGAGGTCATAGGAAGCCATTAGAGTTTATTGAGTAGTGAGATGACATTGGCAGAAAATGTGTGGAGAATGGATTGCCTTGGGAGGAGACTTGAGGCAGGGAGTCCAATTAGAAGGTTATTGCAATATTTCAGAAAAGAAGTGAAAAGGTCTTGAAGGAGGGTGGCTATGTGAGTGGACAGAAGGGCATATATGCAAGAGATGTTGTAGGGGGAAAAAATGACAAGATTTGGCAACTGATTAGATATTTGCAGTGATTGAGGATGACGCCAAATTTGAGAACCTATGTGAATGTTGGCATTTTGTATCATCTTAGCGCAGGGTGTGGAGTGAGACCTCAGAGTTGCTTTACTTTTATTTATGAATTGCCCTTCATTTTAGTGGCTTGGAGAATGGTTTTGCATGGTCATTTGTAGCTTGAAATTCTTCTTTAGAATATCCTTTGACATTTATGCACTGCGGAATGGCTCTTAAATCATATATCTGTGTCAGTTCCTTATGTATCTATGGTATCTGGCTTTTATCAATGACATTTCAGTGGTGCCCTGGTAAAGGTTTTACCACCCAGCTCTTCAGGGCAAAATGTACGCAGGACACACTTTTAAGTTTAATTTGCATTATAAGCATTTTGTCCATCATTTTCTGAAGTCTAGGCTGAAAATCAAGCCATTGGTCCTTGTAAGCTTGGCCAAGCTGGCTCCAGTACACCCTGCAAAGACGTTTTTCCTGAATTGATTTTGTCCATGCAAAAGCTTTTTTAAAAAATTTATTTATTTTTAGTTTTCAACATTCACTTCCACAAGATTTTGAGTTCCAAATTTTCTCCCTATCTCATCCCTCCCCCTACCCCAAGATGGCATGCATTCTGAATACCCATTCCCCTAATCTGCCCTCCCTTCTAACTCTCCCGCTCCCTTCTCTTATCCCCTTCCTCTTCTGTTTTCCTACAGGGCAGGATAGATTTTGATACACGCAAAAGCTTTTTAATTTTATGTAATCAAAATTATATATTGGTCTTTTATGATCACCGTGACCTTGTGATGTGAATTATTTCATAGCCATAGTTGCAATAAGTTCCTCATCCAAATCCCTTTTCTATGTGATGGACCTTTAAATATTGAAGGCAGCTTTCATGATCCCCTAAATCTTCTCTTCTCCAGGCTAACACCTAATTCCTTGAGCCCCTTATGGTATGGTTTCCAGACCTCTCTCAATTCCAGGCAAACTTCCTGGGTCCCAACCCTCTGTTCACATGTTCCAGTATGTAAATGATGAAAATGTAGCATTCTACATTCCAAAGCCTCTTCTAACTTTGATGTTCTGTGGTTCTTTGACTCATAACAGGATTCCAAGATATGTTGGGGGTAGGGGAGGTCTCTCTTGTGTGGGTGGAGAATTGGGGAATGCTGTGATACAGACGACCTGACTCCTGGTACACTTCCCTCCAGGTGCAGACCACAACCATGTGTGTGTCTGTCAGCCTCAGCGGCTCTGTGGTTCTAGGCTGCCTCTTCACCCCCAAACTTCACATCATCCTCTTCCAGCCACAGAAGAATGTAGTCAGTCACCGAGCTCCCACCAGCCGCTTCAGTGTCACAGCTGCTGGCTCCAGCATCTCCCATGGTCAGTCTGTGCTCCTGGGCCTCTTTGGCACTCCCAGACGAAGAGCTCCATCCATCCTCCCCATCCTCACCTCCCATCATCACAGAGTCCCCATAACTATGCCTTAGGGTCATAGGTTACCCTGGCCCTCCACTCCTGAGTCCAAGTCCTCCACCAAAACCTGGTCTATACCCACTCTCCCCCAGATTCCAGCTGCTTCATATTCAAGTCACCAGGTGTGTGACCTTATTTAATTTCATTTTTTGAGGGAAATAGAATGGTTGTCCACTGAGAATAGAACAGAATGAAAGAGAAAGGAGTTAAAAAGAGAAGTCTCTGTAGCAGAAGACCCCATAGACCCTTCCCTGAAATCCACCACCATAGAGAGGGTTTATCTGAGCCTGAGAATACACCCCCCTTTTTGAGTAGATGCCCTCTTCTGCCCTTCTATATGATTCATGACGCCCCCTTGTCCCCACTACTAACTTTCTGCTTTCTCTCCCTAGGCTCTGGCTCCCAGTTTGTTCCTACGGTATGTAATGGCCGGGAGGTGGTAGATTCCACAACTTCATCACTCTGAGGGATGAACCCCAAAACAACTTGGTTCCATGGCTAAAGATGGGGGAGGTAGCACAGGGCCCCATCCCCTGGGACCCAGGCAGACAAGCCTGGAGCATTGCAATAACCCCAAGTCACTTCATTTCTTTCCCCAAACACTGTCATCTCACCTAACCCCTATAGGTTGTCAACAGCCTAACCCTATCCCACCTCCCAACCTTGGCCCAGGGTCAGAAGCTGCTGAAGAATGTTGGGAGAATAGGGTGCTCATCCAATAGGTCATGGCATTGGCTTTGTTTGAACCTGTGGAGTCCAATGGAAACCCTGAGGGAAAGATCTGGGCGGGTCAGAGGAAAGTAGAGATGCTGAAGGCCTGGGATCAAAGGGTTTATGTATTAGGAATGCAGCCCCGAAATGGGAGGAAAATAGAAGAGCCAGGCTCCTCAATCCGTGTTACATCAAAGGTGCTTCCAGCCCCGGGCCCAACTCCTAATCCCTACTTTATGTCCTAGGGCTTTTAATTGTTTATATGTTATTTTAAGGGGGGAGGAGGAGGGAGCATCCAGTCTTCCTGCAAAATACTTTATCTGTGGTTTATTTTGTAATTTCTGTAAATAAAGTCTGTTGGTTTTTTTTTTTTAATCCAAGCCCTTGTCCTCTTTGCCCTAATCCCGGGTGCCTTTAATACAAAAAGGTAGGGGCAGAGGGAGGGGGAGTTTTATGTCATGGATAGGGTACTTAGATGGTGCCATCCTTTGCTGTAACCAGGAGGGCTACATGGAGCCAGGGCCATAGCAGCATCACCTTGTTACTACCGGCTCCTGGGTCCTAGCCCAGCAGAGCTTCCTCTGGGTCAGGCAAGCCTAAACCATGCAATACTTGCAGTGACCTCACAGGGTTGGGTGATATTGGAAGAGTCAGAGGACCGGAATTATGGTATTACCTCTGCCATTTACCACCTGTGTGATCCCAGGCAAGTCCCTTCATTCTGTCTTTCTAAGTTGAGGTGGTTGGACCACATGACCTTTCAAGGTTTCTTCCAGTTTAAAATCTATAATCTTACGAGCAAATGAAATGTGTGTGGAAAAGTTTGCCAACCTTAAAGATCTATACAAACTTAAACTATTATAAATTATAAATGAGTCCTAGTGTCAAGACCTAGAGAGCAGTCAAAGAAATGATAGGAGGTTGGAAGGAAAGGGGGAATCAGTGCATAAATCTTGTTTTTTTGTTTTTTGTTTTTGCTAGGCAATGGGGTTAAGTGACTTACCCAGGGTCACACAGCTAGTAAGTGTTATGTGTCTGAGGCCAGAGTTGAACTCAGGTCCTCCTGAATCCAGGGCCGGTGCTCTATCTGCTGTGCCACCTAGATGTCCCTCAGTGCATAAATCTTGAAGAAGTTTCTGGGGATACTTACTATAAATGCTGAGGGAGGGAGGGATCTCTGTGGCTGAGATGCTTGGGAAGGCTTCATGGAGAAGATAGGACTTGTCCTGGTCCTTGAAGGATAGAGCGAATTTACCAAGGAAGGCTTAGTCTGGAGGGCTGCTCATAGGGGAATGGTCTGGCATCTGGGTTGGATGGGAATGAGGGGCTGGGGGCAGGAGGAGAGGGAGCAAAGAAGCACCACAACTGAGTCGCACTAGAATTCAGCACCTCTGAGTGGAAAGCTCCCTGGACTAGGAGAGCAGTGAGAGAACTAAGGAGAGAGGGGTGTGCTTCCCAGAACTGAGAATGGCAGAGACAGAAGGGCTGAGTAAAGAAAACCTAGTTCAAATTCAACAAACATTAAGAGATAGTTTAGGTAAGACGTAGTACCCATAACTCAGAGGTCACAGTCTAGGGGAAGACACATGGATAACTATGCTGTATAAAGTTACATACATATGTGAGAATTAGAAAACAAAGTGTTACATGAGGTCTAAAATGTGAGGTCTGAGAGGTTATTAATGACCAGGGAAAATCAGGGAAGGCTTCTTGGAGGAGGTAGCATTTAAGTTTGGCTTTAAAAGTTGAATAGGAAGTCAAGGGGTGGAGGGAAGGAATATGTATTTAGAATGGACAGTCTCAGCCACGAGGAACAGCATGGACAAAGTCAGTAAAGTACAGAGAAAGCATAGAGGATTCAATTTCATTCAACAAACATTTCAAGTACCTACTGTGTTTGAGGCGCTGTGCCTAGGCACTTTGGTTATAGAGACAAAAATGGTCCTGCCCTCAAGGAGCTTACATTATACTGGCATAGTAGGGGTGGTGCATACACAGATAAGTAAATACAAAGCAAATACAGTAATTTTTGTGGGGATGAGGGGTAACTAATAACTGGGGAGAGAGGGTCAGGAATGGCCTTATATGGGAGGTGGCACCTGAGCTCAACTTTGTAAAGAGCCAGGGATTCCAAGAGACAGAGTTGAGGAGGGACAGTGTTCAAATCATGGGAGACAATCTGTGCAAAACTATGGGGGTGAGAAAAAGGCTGTTCTGTATGGGAAACAATAAATAGTCCAGTTTGTCTGGAACATAAGGTTCATGAGAGGGAGAAATGTGAAATCAATCTGAAAAGATAGGCATATTGTGAGGGTCTTTAAACGTCAGACAGTGGAGTTTGTATCTTATTCTAGGGGAGATGGAGATATACTGAAACTTCTTCACATTATCAGACCTGTGCTTTAGAAAGATCAATTTGACCACTGTGAGGAGGCTGGATTGGGGAGCAGAGAGCCTGCAAGCAGGAAGAACAATTAAGGAGGCTTTTGGTGGTAGTCTAAGTGAGAGGGATAAAGGTCTGAACTTAGGGGAGTGGCTATGTGAGTGGAGACAAGACGTCAGATGTGAGAGATCGATCCATCAATAAACACGTTTTTATTAAGTACCAAGATCTGGCAACTGATTGGATACTGGGAATGAGGGGAAGCCAAGAGTAAACGATATCTCTGAGGTGGTGAACTTGAAAGACTTGGAAGGATAATGGCACCCTTGACAGACATAGGGAAGTTAACAGGAAGGAAGAGTGGCTGGGTCTAGGGAGAAAGATTTGCTCTGTTTTGAACACATTGAGTTTAAGATACCTATGGGATGTGCAAGTTACAGTAAGAGTTAGGTTTTGGATTAGAAATACAAAGGCTGAATAAGTAGATCTGGGAGTCAGTGGCATAGGTATAATCATTGAACCCGGCGGAGTTGATGAGGACACAGAGAAAATGTGGAGAATAAAAAGGGCCTAAGAGCCCTAGAGCACAGCTATACTTAAGGAGAAGCATGAATGATGACCCAGCAAAGGTGACTGAGAAGGCATGGTTAGCCATGGAGGAGAACTAAGACAGTATGGTCATGAAACCTTAGGGAAAAGAGTGTGTGCAGGAGGACGGGGGTTGTAGCCCCGGCACTTAGCACAGTGCCTGACACATAATAGGCCCTCAATAAATACTGGTTGATTAATTGACTGACTTGTCAACAGTGTTGAAAACTGCAGGAAAGTATAGAAGAATGAATGAGGGGATTTAGCAAGTAAGATGATGGTCTTGGACACTGCAGTTTCAATTGAGTGGTGAGATTGGAAGCCAGATGGCAAGAGATTGAGAAGTGGGTGGAAGGTGAGGAAAGGGAAGCCAAGAACATAGTCAGCTTTTTCTAGGACGGTTAAAAAGAGGAAAAACACAGGGTGATAGTTTGAAGAGATGGTGGGCTTAAGTGAAGAATATATTTTTTTCAAATATAGGGTAGGTTTGGGCATGTTTGTAAGGCAGCAGAGAAGTTAGTGAATAGCAATTAAATATTAGAAAAAGAAAATTGTCAAAGCATCAAGTTTCTAGTAGAGGCAGAAGAGGATGGGTCATAGTATCATAGACATAGAGCTGGAAGACAACCTCCTCATTTTACCAATAAAGAAACTGAGGCTGAAGAATGCTAAGTGACTTGTCCAAAATCACTCAGATAATAATCATCAGAAATGGGATTTGAACCCAGGTCCTCTGACTTCGGCTTTGGCAAAGAGAAGGGTCACCTCTTCTTCCTCAGTGGCTGGATGCTCGAGGGCATCTGAAGTGTGGAGTCAGGGAGAAGAGGCAGTTCACGATGAATGGTCTTTGTTTTCTTGGCAAAGTCCCGAGACCAGGTCCTCTGCTTCAGGGGACAAGGGAGCAGGTGATGTAGGAGAGAGGAAAAGGTTTGCAAAGCAGCCACTGTGAGGAATGTGATAGGGAGTCAATCAAGGAAGAAAAAGATTGCTCTCCAGCAGTGGGGCACAGCACAGTTGTGATTAGGTGACATATATCTGCAGTAGACCCAGTCAGCACAGGTCTGTGACTTTTTAAATTTTACACGACCTTAATAATCATCGATAAGCGAACATTTCAGTGCACAAAAAAAAGGAAAACACATACGAAATGGTGAACTCATGGATTGTCTGGGGGATTTTGTTTTTAGGGCATATTAAATTAGGGACAGCTAGGTGGCAAAGTGCAGAGTGCCAGACCTGGAGGCAGGAAGACTAATCTTCATGAGTTCATATCTGGCCTCAGACACCGGTACTAACTGTGTAACTTGGGCAAGTCATTTAACCCTGTTTGCCTCAGTTTTCTCATCTGTAAAATGAGCTGGAGAAAGAAATGGCAAACCACTTCAGTTTGTAAAAAACAAACAAAAAAACCCAGATGGGGTCACAAGGAGTCGGACATGACTGAAATAACTCAATAATAACTAATATTTAACAGGGTAGTAACAAAATTGACCTGTTTTATGGTTCCTTTATGACCTTTTTCTTTTCTTCTGTGTATTCTGAATGTTTTCTTCACGTTCTTTCTGTCACTATCTGCTAAGTCACCCCTCCCGAAAAAGGTTCTCCCTTTATGATATAGAGAGCCAACACACCGGCCACATCTGATGATGTATGTCTCATGGTGTCTCTAGCCCGTCACCCCTCTATCAAGAGATGGGTGCCGTGTGTCACCCGTAGGCTTTTGAAGTCATGCTATGGTCAGTGTTGGCATGCTCAGTTTTGTAGTCTTTCAAAGTTATTTTCCTTTACAGATTGTTCTCTGAGTTCTGCACATTTCACTCTTCCCAAGTCTTCCCAAGTTTCTCTGAATTTTTCATATTTGTCATTTCTGAAGGTGTAACAACATGCCATTACATTCCATACACTGCAATTTGTTCAGCCCTTCCTCAGTTGACAGATACTCACTTTGTTTCCAATTCTTTGCTACGACAAAAAGTGCTGCTATCTGCATTTTTGTATAGATGAGTCCTTTGCCGCTTGTCTTTGAACTCTCTGGAGTATATGCCTAGCAGTGGTATCTCTGGCACAGGGTATGTATGCTTGAGTGACTTTTGGAGTATAATTAATTTCAAATAATTTTCCAGAATGGTTGGACAAGTTTGCAACTCCATCAACAACATATCAGCGTACCTAATCTAACTCCCACAGCTGCTCTGCCAAAGACTGCCATTTTTACCTTTTTCTGTCTGTCTTTGCCAGTCTGATGGGTGTGAGATAGTTTCAGAGTTAATCGGTCTTTCTTTTGTTATTAGTAACTTGGATCATCTCCTAATCTCACTGTTGTGAGTATTCGCTTTAGTGGCACTAATCACAGCCCATTCACCACGCTGTAAGGGT